GCAAGTTGAAGAAATATTTATTTGGGAATAAAACGAAAGAAAACGTCACGCTCGATGGCGCCAATTTCGCTACTCGAGGACTATTAGTAATAGTCCCCTTGTAGCGTAGCCAATCAAAATGCAGGATTTGCATTAGTCCACTAGTTGGGTGATACTAATAACCAATAGTATTCAGGATATATAACGGTTAAAGCATCTTCAGTTCTCCCTTGGGATTCTTCAGATTTCTTCAGCAATCTTCCGCTCTCTGTGGACATGTTCATCGAGTGAAGTTTTTGGAAAATAGTCGGAAACGAGGAATGGAAGAGTGCCAAAGCATGGGCATGGTATTTGTATCATTTTTGGAAAGAACTGGTATTGAACCTCCTCGTATAGATAAAATGGACACCATAGAAAACCGTAACATAACTAATAATCATGCTATGTAAGACAACCAACTATGAGCTTTTTCTATTCTAGTCACAAAGTCGTCGACGTTCTCGACAAATAAACAAAGCTGTGAAAAACAGATCAGGGCAACCTGACACTCCCTTCCAGAGACTGGGGCGACATCCCATGACCGCACCCAGTAACAGCTCGTCGTTTTTTGGCTACGATGGCGATTCTGATGAAGAAACCTGGGGGCGAGGGGGGCTCATGTCTAGAGTGGGTTCCAGTCGCGCTCGTGTGTCGGATTCGGGTGCATCGTACATGTCTGAATTGGCACGTGGAGGGCACGTGACAGACTCGCAATCCTCCATGTTTCGCAAGTACAGTAGGACAGCGGGTAGTGCTGGTGCCCGAAAGGATGTGTCTTTCTCGAGTGAGTACTGTTTAATACATATAGCTTATTATTAACTTAGACTCAGTAACCCCTTGACCTCAGCCTCCTGGACTGAATTAAGCTTCTGAGTGTAAGATCAGATTAAAACAACCCACTTTTCTGGCGTCGGAACCAAAGTAATCGCCCTAACCAATCACAAAAGACACAGGCAATCCAGTGAACCAATCAAAACTCGAAGTAATATTACATGAGGCGAACGAGTCACGAGTGGTTTTGGTTTTACTTCTGATTGGATGAAAAATTGTCGCGAGCTTTTTTTAGCCAATCGTGTAACGTAGTAAATGCAAAACCAATTCCTTTTCGACACTTAAATTTAGTTAACGAACCATAAAATAAAAACGAGCTGACTTACCTTCCCTTGGACTCAGTACTTGAAATAGTTCGTCGAGATGGCAATTGCCAGGCGTGCTGTTTGAATTTTTCTATCCTCCAGATAAACCAGTTTCCAAAATATAACGTAATGAGAGAGAATTTACGCTTTTAATGGGCAAATGTATAATTCCTACTGAAGAATTTACAGTACGTTTGTATGTTTTTGTTTTTTATATGAGACTGCGCTGGTGAATTGAGAGACTGGCTGAACGGTCAGAAACGCCTCTCCCCTGTCCTCTGTTAAAGGACTCCCCACGGGCTGCGACTTTTTGTTCATTTTACTCAATAAACTGGGCGCTTACTAAGTTCGATTAAGCTAAGGTACTGAACAGCCTTGTGCTTTACAGATTTAGAGGACCAGTTGTCTTACGGTTTCCTTGGTAACGATGAAAGTATTTGTGACTTAGAAGACGGTCAATCCTTTGCCAGGCCTAACAGAGCACGCCGCCAAAGTAAACTGAAAGAAAAGGGAGACGGAGTCAAGAGGCCTGGGAAGTACTACCACAGCAAAGTGATTGACGACATGGGTCAAGCGACGGCATCATTTGCTGACACTAACATGACGTATGGGTCGAAACAGAGGCTGAGCCAAGCGCGTGTCTCTTTGATTGATGCTAATATTCCTTCACCCTGTGACTCAACACTTGTGATAAAGCGATCTGTAGTTGTTCGTCCTGCTTCTGTAAAGGAATCTTCGCAGAAAAAGAAAGAAGAAACAGAAAAAGAGTTCTTGCAAACAGAGTTTCTGCC